CACAAGCTCAGGCTCCTTCCCCCCCAGCGAGGTGACGTTCCACGTCCCAATAACCAGAGGCTGTGTGCGCGGACCAGGTCGCCGAGGCAGCTCCCCCCGGCCGCCACCCAGTCCTCTCTGCACCCGACCCCTATGATTCCCTCTGCGGGTGGTGGTGGGTTTGTATAGTAATTTACAAACATTTGAAATGAAATATTCTACTATTAAAAAAAAAAAAAAAAAAAAAAAAAGGGTTTCTGACTTTCATAAGCTAAAAGCCAAAATAATCAAAGTTCAAACAAAAAACTTGACATGTTTTACTTTACATGCAGTGAATATAGAATATATCAAAGATGACCTTTTTGAGTTATTGGTAAAATTGGTAGCATGTCATACAAGTTTAACCAGGTCCTACCTCAGCCTCTCAGCAACGTTTCAGTTGTTTCTTGAAGTTCCTGCTATGGCAGATGTGTGTTTGCCTTTCATCACATCAGTAACCATTTTCCTGTGTCCCTTTGTCCCTAGAACTCCCACTGCACGATGTGTATCAGGAGGAGGAGGCTCCTGCTGACCTGCTTCGTGATCAGGAGAGGAACTCTGGTCTGCACCAGAAGGATCCAGACCATCTCCAGATTAAAGTGGAACAAGAGGAACTCTGCACCAGTCCTGAAGGAGAGCTGCTTGTGCAGAATCAGGAGAGTGATACCTTTATAGAAACTCCTACTTATAAGGAAAGGGACCACAGTGACACAGAACCAGACAATTACCAGCTACTCTGTCACAACTTTTTTGTAGATGAGAGGTCAGATCAGGAAAGAAGTAAGCATGCAGACTTGGGACAAACCTCAAATGCAAAGCTGAAGCCAACGAAGACACATCACAGAAACAACAGTCACAGTAACAATGTAGACAACACTCCCATGGCTGAGAGTCCCTGTAAAACTGACAGAGGGAGAAAGAGTTTAACATGTGAGGTCTGTGGAAAAGCCTTTAAAAATAAGTACTACATGAAGAAGCATTACATCAGTCATACAGATGAGAAGCCGTTCTCTTGCAAAACCTGCGGAAAAAATTTTAGTCAAGGGGGTGATTTGAAAGTCCACACGAGAACTCACACAGGTGAGAAACCATATGTTTGTAACACATGTGGAAAACGATTTTCTAACACATCAAAACATAAAAGGCACACAGCAATCCACAAAGAGGAAAAGCCATATTCTTGTGGAACATGTGGGAAAAGTTTCTGCCGTCAGGATAATTTGGGGCTTCACATGAGAACTCACACAGGTGAGAAGCCGTACTCTTGTAAAACCTGTGGAAAAAGTTTCAGTAAGGGAAGTAGTTTGAAAGCCCACATGAGAACTCACACAGGTGAGAAGCCGTACTCTTGTAAAACCTGTGGAAAAAGTTTCCGTCAAGGAGGTACTTTGAA